GGTATTTTTATTGATGGAATTAATACTGTGTATGTACCTAATCCAGTTAGTAATACTATTTTATCATGGCCTCAAGGGAATACTACATCAACAAGTAATAACTATACTAATTTGAATAATTCATTAAGCCTTTTTATGTCTCTAACTGGTGATATTTATATTGATAATGGTTATTCATATGGTCGAGTCGATAAATTTACATTTAATACATCAAATCCTATTACTGTTATGAATGTTAATGGAAGTTGTTATGGTTTATTTATTGATACTAATAATAATCTTTATTGTTCACTTAAAAATCTTCATCAAGTTGTTAAACTCTTACTTAATAATGGTACAACCATCCCGACAATCGCAGCCGGTAATGGTTCTGCTGGATCACTATCAAATATGCTTAATTCTCCTCAAGGAATCTATGTTGACAGTAATGTAAACCTATATATTGCAGATTGTGCTAACAATCGTATTCAATTAGTTCAAACTGGTCAATTAAATGGAGTGACAATCGCCGGAAATGGATCATCAACAAATTTTATACTCAGCTATCCAACTGGAATTGTCCTTGATGCTAATGGTTATTTATTTATTGTTGATAGTTATAATCATCGTATTGTCGCTTCAAGTTCTACTGGTTTTCGATGTATAGTTGGATGTTCGGGAGGTGGTTCATCTGCGTCTCAATTATCTTTTCCACAAAGTATGGCTTTTGATAGCTATGGAAATATCTATGTTACTGATCGAAATAATAGTCGAGTACAACAATTCACTCTTCAAACTAACAACTGCAGTAAGTTATTTGTAAATAATAGAACATTATGAAATTGTAGTTGATAATTAGTTTTTGCGACTATCATTTGAAAAATTGACAGAAATCAGATGATATGTTGCTTGAATTATTTGATCTCATACTAATGTTTTTAGTATAAATTCTCTCTAATTTAACTGAGTAAAGCACAATTGTTTTATATTTTAGCAATACCGACCACCACCACTACTACTACGAGCAGCAGCAGCAGCAGTACCACCACTAGCACTACTACTACCACGAGTGAGACTACAAGCAGTAGCAGTACAACAAGTAGTACTACCACCACTAGTATCACTACTACTACTACAACCAGTACCACGAGTAGCACTACGACTAGCAGTACTACTACGAGCAGTAGCACTACCACTACCACCACCAGTATCACAAGCAGCAGTACTACAAGTAGCACTACTACCACTACCACCACCAGCAGTACAACTACAAGCAGTAGCAGTACCACTACTACTACTACCACAAGTACTACAACAAGTAGCAGTAGTACCACAAGTAGCACTTCTACCACGACCACCACTAGCAGTACTACAACAAGCAGTAGCAGCACCACAAGCAGTAGTACCTCAAGTAGCACCACTACAAGCAGCAGCAGTACTTCAAGTACTACTACTAC